ACTAAAATTAATCTTGCCCTCCTCAAAAAAAAAAAATCACCAATGAATCTGTGGCTAGTTCAGTGGGAAATGAAACTTCAGAGGCCATGATGTTTCATTTTATCAAGTGGCAGAGATTAAAAGCTATTATCATATCATATTTTTGAGCATATGGGGGTGCTATCACATAAGAGACAAGCTCATTTGCCAAACCATTTTGCAAAACAAAGAAAAAAAAAGATAACTGCCCACAGAAGAAGGGAAATGAGACTTGAAAAGAAAGTAACAGTGGGCTTTGCGGGATGTGGTGGGGGGAAACTGTGCCCAATCACAGTCAGGGGAAAAACTTGGAAACCAGGTTAAGTACAGAGCCTAGCAACAGCAAACTACCTGGGCCAAGCTTAATGCAAACAGAATGACTTCACCAGCTATAAACAGGATTTTTCAACATCTGAAGAGCTCAAAACACCTGGATTTACCTCTCTCTCTTTCGCTCTCTGAAGGGTACACTAAGGGTGGGAACCTGCGGCCTCGAGGCCACATATACCCTTTGTTAAAGGGCTGTACTTGAGGACCTAGAGGGCCACAAAGGGGCTTCAAGGCTGCAAGTTTCCCACCCTTGGTATATACAATGGAGGATGCACTTCCCTCACAGAAAGTTTTCATAAAATTTTTAGAAGAAGAGCTCATTCTGCCTAACCACTTTTATTTCCACCAATAAGACGACAGAATTTGAAGTAACTCACACAGGGTCACACAGATAATCAGTGGCAATTCTAAGACTAAAACCCAAATCTATTAACTCCCAGGTGGCTTTGTTTTCTACATGATCCTAATATTTCCTTCATATCCCAAAACGTAGATGTTCTTAAACCTTTTTGTGTCATGACTTCACGTGCAATCCATGGACACCTTCTAAGAATAATGTTTTTAAATGCATAAAATACATTACAAAATAAATCAATTATGTTGAATTAAAAATGCAATTTTTCCCCCATACAAATTCATAAACCTCCTCAAATCTATCCACAGACTCCTTAAGGGCAATTCCAGGTTAAGAACCTCTACCCTAAAGAAACAAATGCCTTTCAAACTCTCAAAAGACAGTTTTCTGATCAGGGTCCCAACAGCTCATAAGATAGACTTATTGCTTATAAACAACATGCATTTTGAACAGCACTCTGTTTAAAAGCAGTAGGGGTAGACGATGAAGACTCGGATGAACGTACGCTCAAGGCTTTATGATATGGGCCCTAAAAACAAGACTGGCTTTTATTTTTCTTTTGGAGGTACTGATAGATTCATAAGACGTGTGGGCTAAAAGGATACTTAAAAAGATCACTCAGTCCAAACAATCCCTGTACTAAGATCACACAGCCGGTAACAGAGATGAGGTTAGAATCACATCTCCCGGCTCCCAGAACACTGTCCTTCCTTCCCTGCCACTAGGCCATCTTTATTATGCAATGCCAAGAGCCTTTGAAATTTTAATTATTTAAAACTTTGCCTCAAAACTAACTTTTAAAAAGGAAAAGCAGAAGTTTCTATACATTTCAGACCAATACATGCATGGAATTAAATTTATGTGGAGAGAGCTAGATCAATGCATCAATCAACAAGCAAGCATTTACAGGAAAAAGGGGAATAAGCATTGATTAAGTGCCTACTATAAGGCCTGGCACTGTATTAAGGGTTTTGCAAATATTATCTCATTCAGTCCTCACAACAATAATGGGAGAGTAGGTATTATTATTACCTCTATTTTATACATAAGAAAACTGAAGTAAACAGAGATTAAGTTACTTGTCCAGGGTCACCCAGCTAATATGTACCTGGTGCTGCATTTGAACTCAGGTCTTCTTGACTCTGGCCTGCCTTATTATCAGAAGCATTGTGCTAACCAATGAGAAGACATCAAATAATCAGAGTTCTTGCTCTCAACGAGCTTACATAGCTAAGTATTTTCAAAATATATACAACGTAATTTTGATAGAGAAGGCACTAGCAACTCTAGGGAAGAGGCAGTCAGGAAAGGTTCTATGTATCCAGGCCACAAAGCACCAAATTCCACTTAAAACCTAGCTGCAAACTTTGCTGCAGACAAATAAAAAAGGGGGAGCAGGACAGAAATGACTAACAGGTCTCTGAGGCAGCATTCCAGGCTTCATTCAAGGTAAGAGGCAAGCATACAAGGCTGCATTTCCTGTCATCCAACACACATATCAAATACCATCTCAATGTCAAATTTCAGTACTATGTAAGGAAGACAGCGAAGTAAAATTCTCTGGATCTAAAAAATTAGTTTACATGAAGAGCAAGTCTTTTAACTAGTAAAAAGAACTATGGATCACTTGTCTGCTTTTTCCACGCTACCTCTCACTGAAATTCTAACACATCTGGAATCAAGAAGAGAGAAAACAAATAAATAAATAAATTGGGGGAAACCCTCCAAAAGCCTGTGCTTTCTTCTCATGGCATCACATGTTGGCCACTGATATCGAAACCACAAAGCTTCCTGGAAGGCCATCAAAAACATGTCAATACAGGTCAGGATGGATAAGAAGGCAAAAACTCAAAGACAGTGAAGGATTAATCTTTTCAAGTCTTTAAAACAAACGCTTGTTCACTGGTAGGTATCTGAACTTGTTCTGAAAAGGGCACCAAGGTAAACATGATTGAGAAATGGGGGGGAGGGGAGAGAAAGGGGCAGAGTTTAGTTTCTCCTCCCAATGGGGTGTATATTAACACAACACCAACTATCAATTACCTTCAATTCCAAAGCTAATAAAAATTGCTCCAAAATCTTCATGCTTTGGAATTCATTCTGTTTTCAGTTTCAGAACAGGTCGCTTACTGAGTTACTTTTATACACGTGTACAATACGTCAAATATGTAGACACATACATGTGGTGACCTGCAAGAATATTTCCCAACAGATTAAAAATCTCTGTGAAAGTTGCTTAATTAATGAGATGATGCATCTTTTTTTGAATGAGGTGGGGAGAAGGGGAGAGCTTTCTTCTTAGTGATTCTGCTTTTAGATGACTTTTTCTCTTTATTCCAGGGAACCTTTAAACAAACCCAGGGCTGCTAGTGTTAGAGCTTAAAATGAGTAAGGCCTTTTTGCTAATGAACTCCACACTTAAATCCTGGTGTGCTTGCTGAAGTCAACAACTGCCCAACTTTCAGGCCTCCAAACACCACAGTGCCTCAGAGCAAAGAAAAGACAGAAGACCAGCATGAGAGTGACCTAGGACAGAAAGCAAACCCAGCCAAAGCACAATCCTCAACAACTGAAGATGAGGAGGAATGGCAGCCTGTCTCTGCATCACTGTTTGTCCTAGGCAGTGCTAGTCCAATCCTTAAGCCTACACTAAAACAGAGAATTAAAAGAGGGCAGCTAGGTGGCGAGATGGGACAGACCACTAGGTCCAGAGTAAGAAAGAAAGTTCAAATTTGCCTTCAGAATTCACTAGCTGTGTGACCCCAGGCCAGTCACTTCACCCTATTTGCCTCAGTTTCCTCATCTGTAAAATGATCTGGAGAAGGAAATGGCAAACCACTTCAATATCTATGCCAACAAAACCCTAAACAAGGTCACAAAGAGTCAGATATGATTGAAACAACTCAGCAACAACTCCAGAAAGAAGAGCATGAAGGAAAGAAGAGGATCACTTGTAAATATTCAAATCTGTACACTTTAGACAGGCTTCTTCTGCTAGAGATCCAAGGCTTGGTCCCTCAATGTTCAAATCCTCCTCTCACTCCCTCCCGTTCAGCTTTTGAAAATCCTGAACATGAACTCTGAGTGAGCTGGGTTTTATAAATCCAAAAAGCAGATGGAAAACCACTGCTCTTTCCATTTCCCTATGAAGTTTTATTCCACTCAAGGCATGAGTAGTTTCCTCAGCTTCCTGATTCTATTTTAAACTAGAACTCTCTACCAGACAGGCCCAAATTCTGCATAGCAGCTGACCCCATACAATAGCTATCTATCCCTGAGACCAAAATGAAACTTCAAAAGAGGAGTGAGATAGAGGGAAGGAGGGAAAGCAGAAGGAAAGAAGGAAGGAAGGGAGAGAGAGAGAGAGAGGGAGGGAGGAAAGAAAGGAGGAAGGGGCAACTTATTGTAAATAGTGATGACATTCAACATCAGATCCCAACACAGTTTTCCCAGTCAATATTGATACTGCAAGTAGTATACCTATTATTCCTGAGAGCCCACGTAAATGATGAAAAAACAAGTAACTCTTCTCTGTACAACTTTAAAAAAAATCTCACATTTGAGCTGTTAGCTTAGAAGACAATTCTGCCAATAGCTTTACACTAAGTAGTCACATATTGCCAACAACTTATTACACAAATAGTTAAGGAAAGTAATCTATGTAGTTTACCACTGTCTATTTTTGGTTTTATATCAGAGGAGTACTCTGAAATCTCCAACCAACATCTAATACCCGTTTACACCAAGGAGGCTTCCCTTTTTCTCCAGGTTAACAATGCAGAGAAGATACAGACACAGCTCTCTTCTACATGCATCTTTCAGTGGCCAACTTGTTTAGGTAGATGCAAACTTCAACACTTAGTGACAGCATATGGAACCTTCCCTGGACTCTAAAACCCAAGCATCCCTAACCTAAACTAAAATTTTAGGGGAAAGGTCAAGACTGGAAACTAATAATAACATGCATATCATTCATACAATGATGGTGAAGAAATACAACAAGCAGTAGTCTCAGCAATGATATCTAAAAACCACGTTAGACTAAATACACATAAGGATGCCAGCTTGGGGGGCAAAGGAGGAAGAATTTTTTGGGACGTCTAGACAACGAGTTAGATAAAGTCATAATCGGCCATCCTAAAGACTATGCTGGTTTTTTCAGCACAATGAACTTGTACTCCCTTAAAAGGAGATCTTTAAAAGGATTTTTTTTAACTTGAGCAGAGAAGATTAAAACAAAATTAGCAGAGGCAGCAATAGAATTATACGCTTCGTTTCCAGACCCTGAAAGGCTTACCTGGCTTCGGTCTTTATCCACTTTCTTAAAACACTTATTCAATGACAAATTGTGTCTCACTGAGTTTTTCCACCCCGTGGGTGCATTTGCAAAATATGGAAAGTGTTCCAAGATCCAGTTGTATATATCCTTTACTGGTAGTCGCTTGGTTGGAGAGTCTTCAATGGCCATAAATATGAGGCAGCTAAAAGAATAAGGAGGTTTACAATTGGGGTTCTGCCTGGCATCATAGGGCATGTCAGAGTGAGCAGGAGATGGGGGGGTGTCATCATCAATGTCCTGAACAGGGCTAACACTCCTGAGGACTGAATCCCCAAAGCTTTTTAGCAAGTTCTTACTCTCATGCAACCAGTTCAAGTTAGTGAGCTCTTCATCTTCCATCGCCCCCTTCTCTAATCTGATGGCAGGCAAGGCAAAGTCGAGGTCATCGTCGTCGTGAAGGGACTTGGACAAATCACTACTTCTGTAACACTGGCTCAGGCCACTGGAAACACTAATTCCTGAGCCCTCTGGCTTCTTACTGGGAGGCATGACTGGACCCATTTAGGTGGAGGCTCCTAAGCAAAGTAAATTTGAGAGAGAAAAGATTAGCTGGTAAATTTAAGAAAGTATACAAAACTAACTTCCTTCCTCCCTCCCTTTTCCCTCACCTCCACCCACACACTCCCCTACATGGCTACATCTCTTTATGCATTGCTGACATCATTCTACACATGAAAAAGCTAATAAATTAAATCCTTTGCAGCCTGGAAGAGGCACTAATTTTAAATAGGATAGTAACAATAACACTGACATGGGAAATAGTAGTATACTTGTGCTATTACATCACACACACAAACCATTAATGATGAAGTACAAATAAATGAAAAATTAGAAATTCCACTTAAATCAAAGAATCCCAACACTGTTCCTGGTTTTCTAGTGAAACCTCAAGTGACCTCCTCATTATTTTTAATGGTAAGTTTTCACCATCTCCAGGAAATAGGACAATAGAGCAACAACACATATTTCTATTGTACCTTAGATTTCAAAAAGCAATTTTCTCATGATCCTGTGAGGTAGGGAGTAAAGTATTATTAGCTCCATTTTACAGATCAGAAAACTGAAGTGAAATCCTATGATCACGTAATAAGTTTCAGAACTGGGGCTGAAATCCACTAGTCCTGAAACTAAGTCAAAGAGGGCTCAGTCATGCTGCTTTCCTGTGTTTCTTTGGTATCAATACTTACTCAGGCCTACACTCCCCCAAATCCCACAATAAATGTTATTGAGGGAAAGCAAAATAGTATTTAACCATTACATGCATCATATTGTATATACATCACTTTGCTTTCCAATATGTGTACATATATATGTGCATGTGTGTGTATACATATACATACACACATACATATATAATACATACATGTATGTGTGTGCATTATAGCTTAAGGCCAGTTGTTTCAGATTGTGTTGCTCCCATTTTGAACACATCATGACTATATTGTGATTAAACTGTATTGACAAGAGGGTACATCAATTTTAGTATTTTCTTTGGTTTCTCTCCCTTTTTCCTCAGCACTTCCCCTATTCATAAGATAGAAAATCTGCAATTTTAAGTATAGCTGTATAGTCTGAAGAAAAATGAGGAGGAACCCTGTCTGGTCTGAAACAAGAGGCAGGTTTATTTACTAAGGCAAGAAGCATGGGAAAGGAAAAGGAAGTAACTTCAGGCATGTATGAAAGGCATTCAGAACCCACGAGTTTAGGAGCCCTGAGAAGCGAAGGGTTCAGAAGGGTTACTTCTGGCTTTAGAAACTAGGAAGACTGATACATATATCACTACACAATTATATTTCCTTACTTTTATCAGTGACCTAGAACAAGAAGTATATAATAAAATGGCAACTAAAAAATAAATTAGGGAGTGGCAAACAGTATCCAGGGGAATGACCTAGACAGATAGAAAGTTTGGTTAACTTTCTAAAATCCAACATGAGTTTTTTTAAAACAGCTGAAATTATGCAAAAGGGCATTTGGATGTCTGTTTTACAGCTGAAAGGCAGTTTGATTTCTGTGGATGTGGTTACTTTTTTAGTTCGTTATTTAAAAGGGGGGAAAACCTCAAGCCATACATTTTGGAAAGGAGCTAAGACACACAAAATACCAAGGCCTATAAAAGAACCAGCAAGACTGTCTCCAATAGCCTTGACACTCAAAGGATCACAGGATTTGCATCTGGGAGAGACCTTAGCAGTCACAGAGTGCAACCTCACTTTATAAATGTGGAAACCCAGAGAGGGGGAAGTGACTTACTCAAGGCTGTACTTACAAGTGAGTAAATAGCAGAGTCAGGATACAAACAGAGGTCCTCTGACTCCCATATGTATCAAGTCTTCACTGATTTTCCAAAACTAACAGGGATCTCTTCCTCATCTCTTAACCTTTGGGGATTCCTCTTATGGGATTATTATAATCTAATTTGTATGAGAATCTATCTGTAGACAAGTTTTATCCCTCTACTAATGTGGGTCCACACCTTTTTTTGCAGCTCTAGTTTCAGAGTTCCCTAAAGCAAGGAGCATTTCAGTGACTTGACCAAAGTCACACCCAAAGCCTATACATTAGTGAAGTGAAGAACATGGTAAGTGGTTAATAAATGTTTATTAACTGACAACAAACCTCTTCTTACTTTCAAGTCCTGCTCTGGAAGCATTAGAACACATTGCCTACTCACCTTTGAGACAGACAGACAGACAGACAAGACACATATACACACACACACACACAGGAAGGGAATTATCATTTATAGAGTACCTACAAAGTGCCAGGCACTGTGTTTGGTGCTTTACAAGTGTATTTCATTTGATGCTTAGAACACCCGAGAGGAAGGTGCTATTATTAGCCCCTTTCACAGCTGAAGAAACTGAGGCACACTGGTTACTTGACTTGCCCAGGGTCTCAAGGCTAGTTTTGTGTCTGAGGATACATTTGACATCAGGTCTTCCTGACTCCAGGTCCAGTATTCTATCCACTGCACCATCTAGCTGACTCCACGCAGAGCAGGGGCTTAATAACCATTATTTTGAATGAATGAAAAAAAAGCCGTGAGAGTATTTTTTTCTACTCCAAAAAGTTAAATCAGTTAAATCTGACCTATCAGTGTGATTTGGGGCATGTTCTTTCCTTGGGTCTCAGTTTCTTCACTGGGGGGGGGCAAAGTGATACCTGAAATGACCTCTACTCTCCCTTGCAACTTCAAAAGGATAAGAAAGCTAGGAGTCTCATGTGCTATTTTGAAAGGAAATGCACAACACCAGTGTGAAGTTCCCCAAATCAGAAGACAAGAATGAAATTTTGCCAACAAAGGTACATTTTATTCCTGCTAAACAGAAACAACTACAGTGGGCAAGGGGGAGGAGTTCTACTATAACCTAAAAATTTTTCTCTTTATAATTAGATCAAATCTGGGTGTCTTTCTCATAAATCCTAGAGTTCTGAATTTCTAGTGAACAAATGTAACTTCCTATTCCTCAAAGGGGCACAGGCTAGACCAACTATTCAAGCTCAAGTCAACTTGAGCTCCAAATGAAAGTTTTATGTCTCATGAGCTTCTAAACAGGAAAATTATATCATGGCTGACAGTAAAGTAATTTAATTGCACTGTTGCTATGACAACATGCTGCTCTCTTTCTGTTTAATTTGCTTATTTGTCAGTAGCTTCCCAAAGGAATGAACAAGCTATTCTTCATGTTTTCTTTTGTTTTAAACAAACATTTTCTGAGGCCAGCAATAATAGTTTCTTTCTTTAAGGATACTTCAAAAATAAGTTTAGAAAAATGAAGAGTAAGGGAGCAGGGTCCAATAACCTTGTTTTTTTACTTTGCCTATATTCCAACAGCCTTCCTTTTAGCTCCCCCCAACTACATACCCACAAATCATGCATTTTATAGCAACAGTGTGCAAGGCTCTTGACCTCTAAGTTTGGTTTAAAACACATTTTCCAGAAACCACAGCTGAGGATTTTTCCATTATTCTATTTTAACGACAGCACTAGCCAAATCTTTTCCCCTCCCTAGTCTAGAGAAAAAGGGGGAAAAAATTGAGTATGCAGTTAAGCAAACATTTTTTAATATGCTGCCAATTAGGCTGTCCCACAAGATAAGTCAATAGTTCTTCAGTGGTGACCTCCTTAAAACTTTCTTTTCTGAATTAGTTATATTACAACCCTCCCCCCTTGTTTTTTATGCCTTGATTTTTTTAAAAGAGATTAACTGCTTTTAGAAAACCTTGTTTCTTGTTCACTTTAAAAAATTTTTTTCACAATAACTGGCAAACACATTAAAATGTTGAGCCCTCAACAGGTGTTCCTGTAGGTTTTAGAAAAGAGGAGGATGGGGGTGGTGATAGATATTTCAATAGTAAAGGTAAAGGAGTCCGAGAGTTTGTGGGGCCAGGGGCAACTCATTTTCCCCCACCCCAGCTCCTGCGCGCGCACACACTGGGCTCTCTTCTACTGTACTTGTCAAAAACATTTGAAGGGGAACAGCGAAGGCAGCGATTGGCTGGGTTTAGAGTCAATCAGTCCTGTTGCTAGGATACGGGGAAACTGCTCCTATTCCCCACACACAGGGCAGTTGCGAGCTCACATACCTTCACTGCTGGTCAGATGTCATAAACGTTTTACTGGCCTTACGGGTTGCATATCATAAAAATAAATACAGCCCCCAACTTATCATGCACCCGAAGAACCATGATAGAGAAGGGGGTACGTGGGCCTGAGTGGCTGGGTGACGTTTCAGGGGACTTACTCCCCTCTACCCCATCCAAGCCTAGACAGTTTAAAGAGAGAGAGAGAGAGAGAGAGAGAGAGAGAGAGAGAGAGAGAGAGAGAGAGAGAGAGAGAGAGAGAGAGAGAGAGAGAGAGAGAGAGAGAAAAGAAAGCAAAAATCTTTGTTTGTCACATCTCCTTATCTCGGGGTCTGTCTCTACTCCTATGCCCCCCAGATCCCAGTGAGAATGACCTAGTCCTCTTCACACAATGCCAACTCTTGTTTATTTCAGAAGGGATCTCTTTCTTTTTCTTTTCTTTTTTTCTTTCCTTTTTTTTTTTCGGAAATCGAAGCAATAGGAAAACATCCTGTACGTCGGGTCAGGAAACTCTCTAGACCAACCAACTTAGCTCCACTGGGGTTCTCTTCCTCTGCCCACTTGGGCCAACCCAGCCGCATTCCGCACCCCAGAGCAAACATCCTTCCTCACCGCACCCAGATGCCCGGCTGCAGAGGGGTGAGGACTACCTTCAGAAATTAAAACCTACGAGTTGGTCCTTCACCATCTACGGCCCATTCCGCTGGGCCCCAGCCTCACTTCCCCCCCCCCATTTACCTCCCACCCTGGACGCCTGCAAAAGCTTTAAATAAACTTACCTGGCTTCAGCTGGGGGTAGGGTCAGGGTGGGGTGGGAAGGGAGAAGGAGGTGGAGGGTGGGATTAGATTCCACCGCTGCCCTTGGGCGTGAGGTTACAAACTTTCATCTGATGGAAGTGCACATTGCTTCCTCCCCTGGCTAACAATGTGCAGCAAGCTGTATCGAGGAAGGAGGTGGTCGTGGGGAACAGAAGCGGGAAGAGGAGGAGGAGGAAGGGGAGAGAGAGACATGGGACCTGCTGCAGTCGGCCTCCTTTCTTTCCTCTCCCCCGCCCCCTCCCCGGCCCGTCCGACCTCCCCACTCGAGATCTGCAGCGTTAGGGGGCCGGGGCTCGTAGAAGAGCGATAAATTGTTTCCACTGCAAACAAAAAAAGACGACACATGACCAGGAAAGAGGAGGGGGGAAGAAAGGGGAGGGGAGGGGAAAGCAGGAGGGGGGGAGGGAGCCGGAGAGAGAGAAAACGTGGGCTGGGCCGCCGGCAAGCAGGCAGCCGCGACTAGAGCTGCAGTGAGACTAACTGGGGGAGAGGAGCACAGGGCTGTCTGTTCGCGTCTGGGGCGGCAAGCTAGGAGGAGGAGGTAGGGGCTGCCCTAAGGAAGAGGGAGGCCGTCACCCTCCGGGCCCCCTTTCTCTCCTTCCCCGGCTACCTCAGCTCCAGGTCCTAGCCCAGTTCCACTCTGGGATCACGCAGGGGACATTTCCCCAGCCGACTCCGGCTCCTCTCCTCCTGCACTTCTCCCTATGCCCCTTGGGCTAGCGGGGGTGGGGACCTGGGAGGGGGGTGACGCGGCTTCCGAAGAGCCACAGCACGCTCTCCCTTTCTGCTGCGGGGGTCTGGGCAGAGGGGACTCGGAAAGAAAAGGAAAGAGAAACGAACCTATTCGGGCTATTCCGGCCCGCAAAGGGTCCTAAAAGCTCTTTCTCTTCCTTCCTGCCCCCCCCCAAGCTCCCAGAGGTGGGTGCACGCGTGCTAGGGGGCTTCCCTGTACCGTGAAATAATTCCAGACCCTGCAGAAGTTTTGTTTCCTTGCTCCTCTTTCTAAAAGCTCCTGGGGGGTTGGCGAGAAACACCAAATCAGAAGCAGAGCAATGCCCCCTAATTCGGGTCATACCTCCATTCTCAGAAAGCCACCTAAGCTCCAACGTGTCACCCAGGCGGGTCTTAGACAATCTTTCTGCCATACATGGTACAAAGTAAAAATTAAAAAAGGAATTACGACGCGGTTGAGTCTTCAGTGCAGAAAAAAATATTCCACTCCTCCCAAACTACAAATTCCTATCATAACTCCCAAAGCCTTTCCAATTTTTTCCCCTCCAACCCCCCACCCCAGGAGGAAAGTCTTAGCTAAAATTACACTTTTCGGTCTCGCTTATCTATCAGATGAACGATAGCCTCCTGCCCGAGACAGAATTAAAGAAAAACCAATGTCCGTTTTAAAGCAAACCGCGGGTTTTAAAAGCCACTCGGAAGGGGAGCTGGCAATTGCTTGTTTTCCACACTCTGGCAGACTTCTAGGCCAGCCGCTAAAACAAATCTTATCTCCCAGCCCCTTCCAGGAGGTTCGCACAAACCCAATTACCAATTCATGGTCCCACCCACACAAATAAGCACCAGCCCCATAGGAGAGAGTCTCGACAGCCTACGGAGAATTTGCCACCCACTACTAAAAGTCTTCCCTAACCGTCCCCCCCCCATCTTTTCATAGGATGATAGCATTGGCCAACAGGACACGCTAGCGTGGGGGGGGAGGGTTTGTTCGTTCGTTTGTTTTTGGTTTTTGTTTTTTTAAGCGAAGGGAATAAATAAACCTAGCCATTGTACTGACAGGCAATCGATTCAAAGTTCGTCGGAGTCTTTAATGAGGAAAAGGTTCTGTCCCCCCCACCCCAGTGAACCGGCAGAAGTTCTTAAAGGACCAGACAAAACAGAGAAACAATACACAATACTGGAACAGAGTAAGCTCTTAATAACCGTTCGTTGACTGGCTGGTCCATTGAAGGACTGACTGGGGGGAAGGGCTATAGAAAGCACAGGGGTGCGGTGGAAAAACCCAGGGGTGGTCGTGAGACCTGGGCACCATTGCCTCTCCCCCTTGTGACCTAGGGCAAGTCCACTTTACCTTTCTAGGTCTCAGTTTCCTGTCTGTAAAATGGAACTAGACCATTTTTAAAGCTCCCAGTTCTCATGGACCCTAAGAAAATGTTGAGCCTGTTTACATGTGTTCTGTTTTGGAGCAAGATTTAGCCAAGTTGTATGAAGTAGAGGGATATGACCTTATTTGCTTTTAAATTATTTTTTTTTCATTCCTGAAAAGAAGGAAACCAGCTTGGAGATTATTCAGTACAAGGCCAGCTCCTCACTAAGGAAAACAGAATCCTCCACCGTTCACAAGATGGTAGGGTATCTTCAATAAGATGCTGTCACCCCCAATGCAAACCAGAGGGAAGAGATAGCAATAGGAAGACATTGCCCCATTCAAAAAAATCAGGGTTTTTTCTAAGAAAAATAAACACCATGGGGGGGGTTGGAAGGGAAGAGCTTTTGACACTAATCTCAACTATAGTATAAAAATCTTGGTATTCTCAGCACCTGAAGAACAATAAGGCTAGCAAAGAAAGAAAGAAAAAAAACCCAACCCTATTTCACCATTATTACTTTCAAGTCTCTTCAGACAAGTTCCTTAAGTGCTGCTAATGTTACTGGTTAAGAGCATATTGGCAGCCCTTCCTCTCCATGCCCCTGACCTCCCAAGCTACTGACTGGCTCACTCAAACCAGAGTTTCACATCCTTTTTTAATAATTCAAAAGATCAGTGATTTCGTCAGTGTGGGCATTCCCCTCCACAGAAGCAGATCATGACCCCATGAAGGTCTTTAAGAATTGATGTGTATGTTATTCTTCTCATGATAACTCTCTCAATAGTTAGGAAAATCACTGGCCCAGTCTTCAGAACTGACCAACTTGGGAGGGCCTGCCAGAGTTTATGTTCCACTAGCATTCAATTAAATTTCATTCAACAAATATTAAGCACCAACTGTGTCTGAAGATCCCCAGTAAAAAAGACAACTCCTTCACTCAAAGATTTTATGTTCTAAAGGAAAGTGGCCTTGGAGAACCCAGGATTGCCTCCACACTACTACCATGAGGCATCAGAGTAGGATGTGAATGGAAGTTCTCTCTAAATCTCCACTGAAATATGGCACAACTAGCTGTGCTACCCTGGGCAAGTCACTTAACCCTGATTGCCTCACCAAAACAAAACAAACAAAAAAAGAAATATGGTACATTACTCTATTCCCACTTCTTTCTATATTCCTTGGAATATAAGAGGTGGAGTAATGTAGCAGAATAAGCTTCAGGCAGACTATCAAGAAAGACCTTGGTTTGAAACCATGCCTATTAACACTTACTAATTGTGAAGCCGGGGAAAATAAGTTTGTCTCTCTAAACCTCAGTTTACTTAGCTATAAAATGGGTAAGCTTCTTCTCAGCTCTCAGCACAGTGCCTTGGCATATAGCAGGTGTTTTTGAATATATGTTTATTGCTTGTAACCCTAAAGCATTACAAAAATGCTATTATACTTTAAAATATTAGCTATTACAATTTTAAAATAGAGGATGTACAGGGAAACATAAGACCTGTGTTCAAATCCTGCCAGACAAGTGTGAACATGAGCAAGTCAGTCACAACTTCTCTTTGATCATCCTTAAAACAGAGCTAATAATACCAGTAATACCCAATTCACAAATAAAATAACATGTAAAATGTTTGTAAATCTTTCAGCACCTTACATCAACTATCTTATGCTGCTCTGTAAAATCCCTTCCTCAGTTATGTGCCTTTATGGTCTAAACAAGTCAGAGTACTTTCTTTTTTTATTATTTTTTGTCCATTAATTTATTTTTAGTTTTTAACATTCACTTCCACAAGACTTTGAGTTCCAAATTTTCTCCCCATCTTGTCCCTTCCCCCCACCCCAAGACAGCGTGCATTCTGAATACCCTTTCCTCTAATCAGCCTCCCTTCTCCCCCCCCCTTCTCTTACTCCCTTCCTCTTCCAGAGTACTTTCACCTATAGTAAAATCACAAGCTAATTTAAGGTCTGGAGAATTTGGAAATGCAAAGAGTGGGGTAAGGAGCTTTTTAAGTCAAAAGAATTTTGGAACTATATTAAGCACCTAGTAATTATAAGGCACTGTGCAAAGTACTAAGGAGAATACAAAGGGGAAGACTTATCTCTGCTGCCCTTCAGGTTGCTTCCATTTTCATACGTTTCTTGACCCAGTCTTCCCTTTCTACTATAACAGGAGACATTAAGAAGAGTTTCCAGACGAAAATAAGAAAGGAAAATTATCTGGAGTGGGGAAGGAACCTTTTGGCTTGAAGTTTCTCTGATAAAGGTCTCCCTACCAAAGTATGTAAAGAACTGATTTAAATTTCTAAGAGCCACTCCCTAACTGATAAATGGCCAAAGGATATGAGTTATCAAAGGAGGAAACCCAAGCTATCAATAACCAAGTGGAAGAAAATGATCCAAATCACCAATAATTAGAGAAACGCATATTTAAAGCAACTCTGAGGTTCCAATGCACACTCATTATACAAGCAAAAAAGACAAAAAAGGAAAATGACAAATATTGGAGAGGCTGAGGGAAAACAAGCACATGAAAGCCCTGTTGGTGGAGTTGGGGATCAGTCTAGTTGTTCTGGGAAGCAATACTAAATTATGTCCAACAGGTCCCTAAAGAGTGTACACTTTTAACCCCATTATACCATTACTGGGCCTAAGCTTCAAAGAAAGAAAGAAAGGACCCATGCATACAAAAAAATAATTATAGGGGCTATTTTTTGTGGTAGCAGAGAATTAGAAACTGTGGGGAGAAACATCACTTGAGGAATATTTGAACACATTATGGTTTAATGATGTAAGAGAATCATGCTGTAAGAAATGGGGAAAAGGGCAAACTCAGAGAAACCTAGAAAGATCTGTATGTACTGATGCAGAGTAAAGACAGCAGAATCAGATGAACTTTTTATACAGTGACCACATTGTAAAGACAATACCTTTGAAAGACTTAAGAACTCTGATGAGTACAGTGAGTAATCACAATTCCAGGGGGCCAACAATAATTAAGCCCCCTACCAACCGATGAGGGGCTCAATATTCGGAATGAGAAAGATATTTAGACATGATCAATGATGAATTTATTTTGCTTGACTATATATATTTATTACAAGTGGTTTTTTTTCTTTTTTCATTGAGGGGGAAAGTTGATAAGGAAAGAAAATAAATGCGTATTACTTGGGGGAAAAAAATTGAAAAATAACCCTGAAATAGAAGCCCCATGGAACCTCCTCTGA